TTTTTGGTGTAGGCCATTCCCTGATGGCTGCCACTTTGGATTTTTCCATCCTGATTTCTCCTGGGGTGATCGTATACCCTAGGAAATCTACTTCCTGTGTGTGGAACTTGGCTTTTTCTGGTTCTACTAACAGTTCGTGCTGGTGTAGTCGTGTGAGGACCTGGTGGACGTGTCCCTTGTGCTCTTCCATCGTCTTCGAGAAAATCAGAATGTCATCGAGGTACACTACCACGAAGACGTCCAGGAATTCTCGCAGTACATCGTTGATCATGTTTTGGAAGGTTGCGGGGGCGTTGGTCAATCCGAACGGCATGACCAAATACTCGTAGTGTCCTCGTCGTGTTCGGAATGCTGTTTTCCATTCTTCTCCATCCTTGATGCGGATGAGGTTGTATGCTCCTTTGAGATCGAGCGCTGTGAACCAATTGGCTCCTGCTAATGCGTCCCTGAGTTCTGATATCAGAGGCAATGGGTAGCAGTTCTTGATGGTAATGTCGTTCAACTGTCTGTAGTCGACGCATAGTCTTTCCTTGCCATTCTTCTTTGGCACAAAGAGAATCGGGTATCCTGCTGGGGATGTCGATGGTCGGATGTATCCTTTTCTGAGGTTCTCCTTGAGATACTCGTCGAGAGTATCCATCTGTCGAGGGTTTAATCCGTAGATCTTGTTAAATCGGGGGCTCTCCCCTTCCTTGATTGGGATTTCGTGGTCGTAGTGTGTGTGCTTAGGTAGCACCGTGTCGACTTCTTCCCTGAAGATCTTTTCGTACTTCCAGTATTCCTTGGGTACGTTCTGCAGTCTTTCTTGCTGTTCTGTTGTGAGCTCCTCCGGGGGTTGTCTCCTCTGAGTTGTCCCTATTCGTGAGGGCTAGTTGGAGGTCGCTTGAGAGACCGCTCGTGGGTCTTTCCTCAGGGGCTGACGTACTCCACTGGACGCGGCCAGCTGTCCAGTCAATCTGAGGGTTCCATTCTCTGAGCCATGGGATGCCTAGGATGATTTGTTTTCCTCCCATGTTGGTGATGTCGAAGGTTATGTGGCCGGGTCGGCGAGAAATGAATACCTGGAGGGGCGCAGTCTCCGTATTCACGATTCCTCCTCCGTACGAGACCGCTTGTCCCTCCACCGTGCTGAGCTGATAGGGTTCCTCCTTATATTTCCAGCTGATGTGGTTCTTGTTGATATATTCGGGGCTCATGTAGTTGCCCTGGGCGCCGCTGTCTAATAGCGCGCTCGCCCATCTTCCTCCTACGTTTATTCGTACGTAGAGGTGGTTTGTGCCGTGGGTTCGTTCGGCTGAGCAGATTGCTCTTACTTCCTTCGTCGGTCGTTGTCCCTGTTCGACCGACGCTTGCCTTTTCCCGAAGAGGGTGGCGTAGTGGGTGGCCATGTCATGGATGGTCCGTCCGAGTTGTCGTTCATCTCGTCGCTCTTGTAGTGGACGCGGAAGAGTGGCTTCCTGACGTCCTTCATGCGATGGAGTCTCCAATCTCTGGCTTTGGCGATGTAGTGCTTCATGCACGCGTCATTATCGCAGTCCTCCCATCTGGCGTTGTCTTGGTAGCATTTGTCGTGATAAGCGGGGTCTGGTCGGAACGTGAGCCGACCCTGACTGTATTCGTCCATGTGTAGGATCCATTTGCGACTCTCCTGTCCGAACTCTACCTTCACTCGTGGCTCGATCCAGTGATTGCGCGGGAGAAACCGGTGTGCGGCCTTCTCCTTGAAGTGGTATTCACAGTCGTCGTAGACGCATTCGGGCCAGAACAACTGGTAGTGTTGTTCGTGGGCGTGGTGAAGTGCCGGGTGGTCTCCTACCATGAGTCGTACGTTTTCTTTGGTGCTTTCTCGCTTTCGGGTGCTGGCCTTCCATGGTTTGGTCCCGTAGTAGATGAGTTCGTTCCATGGTACCAGGGGGTCATAGTCCTCGCTGGCGCTGCTAACTTCGTATGCCTGCATAGGCATGTGGGGTTGGGTCTGTCCGAGCGGAGATTCTTCTTCGCTGGCTCGTGTGTATTCATCCCATTCTGTGTCGTTCATCAGTCCTACGTGGGGAGCTGATTGTGGTTCTGGGTGAGCATGTTCGTAGGCTCTTTCTTCGTCTGTATCGATTTCCTGGGTCTCCGGCGTTACTTGCTGGGCCCATTTCTGAATTCGTCTTTCCTTCCTGGTGGTGACCATCATGGCCAGGGTTCTTTGTCCCGTAGGTGCCCTGGGGAACCATCCATTCTGTTCCTTACTGTCTTTGTGGGTCAGGCAATCGTCCTGGTAACAGAAGGTCCAGTTAGTTTTGGCATGGTCCTGGTGTTGAGTATGGTTGAGCTGTCGTTCGTTTACGGGTTTCCAGGGTTTCTTAGGTTGCCGGCATTCTCGAGCCATATGCCCGTTTTTGCCGCAGTTGTAGCATTTCATGTCCTTGAGATCCTTCGGTTTGCCATGTCTGGTATTGTCGAGCTCCATGGGTCCTGCATGGGTGGTCTGTCCCCAAGCCGTGCTGACGCGGGGTTTGTCGTGCTGGTACTTGCGTCCTTGATTGGATCGGTGGTGGGGAATGCGAGGGTTCCATGGTCCTATAGCGGGCTTTCGTCCCTTTTCTATTCTGCGTTCGTACTGGCGATCGTCGATTTTGACGGCCATGGCGATGTACTCGGTGAGGGTTTCGGGTCTATCCTCCCGGATGAGGTCGTCCTTGACGGCGTCTTTGAGTCCTTCGTAGAAACGGGCCATGAGAGCGGACTCTGTCCAATCGAGTCGACTGGCTAAGAGTCGAAACTCCGTGGCGTATTTAGTGGCTGGCCCCGTCTGTTTGAGCTGAAGGATTTTTCTTTCGTTTTGTCGTTCCTCGTCCACGTCCCCAAACGCTCCTTTAATGGCTTCTTCGAATGCGTTCATACCGGCGTAGATGTCCTGGGTGGCCTGCTTCATATCTTCTTTCTTGGTGTGGGTGGAATAGTCCCTAATGAAGGGTTCGAACCAGTGCAAGGCGTCCCCTTTGAGGTAAGAGGAGGCGTTGGCGACCTTCTCGCCCCAGTACTTGAGTTGGCCCTCATTGGCTTTGTGGTACTGGCGTACCTGGGTGATGAAAGATTGAAGTGCCCTAGGGTTGCCGTCGAATGACTGAGGGGGAAGAGCCTTCATGCTCGTTCCGCCTTGAAGTTGCTGCATCGAGGCTCGTAGCTGCTCGTTCTCTGAGCGGAGCTCTTGGATCATAGCGGCCAGGTTGCTGGCGCTGTTTCCGACGCTGTTGGTGGACATTGTTCCTGTGGTGAGTATTGCTCAGTGTCACAAGGTAAACCTACTGAACAAGAGTGATCAAAATGTTACGACCTGGCAGCTTCCGAAGGGGGAACACTGTCAGAGGGTTGGGGTTGCTGTTTGCAGAAGCTTAGGTTGTGACTCTGAGACGATGTGGTGTCGTAAGGCGTTGCGCACTCGTTACAATGAATACAAGGTAAGACTTAGATTGATCACTGTCGTGAGAAAGAATGTATCTACAAGTCCAGAATGTCCGTCCTTATATACCTGCCATCCTGTCCTTGTTGTGTTAGGTGGTGAGCTCATGTTGGATGGCTCACTGGTTAGTTGTTGGTGATCCATGATGTTAGGATCACGGTGTGTTATCCCGTGAGCCATTCCCTGGCTCACTGCGGCGTCCTTGGTGAGCCCGACGACTCACCCTTTATGTCTGAGTGAGCCATCACGTGATTTGCCAGGTGGGCCCGATTCTTATCTTATCGCGCTCCCTGATCGCGGGGTCGTCGATTCGCGGCCGCCCTGCTTCCTTGGTTGTTACATATAGCTACGATAATATAACCCTAAGTAAACTTTATTAGAGGGATTCGTAGTATATTTATTACCTCTATATAACTTATTATATAATAGAATTATAGCTAGTAATAATTTCTTTACTTATTTATTAAAGTAATAGTAATCTAATTTAATATATATTCATTTTTAGATTAATTACTCTATATAAGTATCCCTTCTAAGCTTAGTTAATAGCTATCTTAGATTATATATATCCCTATATAAGCTTTTAATATTATTATTATAATTATATTTACCTCCTTTAGAGGCTATAATTAAGTTTATCCTTAATTAGGGATAATAATAGTACTAACTAATATTATTATTATTAAATAGGGTTAGAAATATAAATATATACCCCCTATATCTAAGAATTTAATAAAGAAATTAACGTAGTTCCCCCCCCTAAGCCTTATAGGCCTATTAGACTTATATAGGGATATTCGATAGGCGCTTAGTAATATTAAGTCTCTAGGTAATGAGCCTAAGCTCTAGGATCCCTCTACTTAGTATATAATTAGAATAGTTAGTCCTCTATAGCTCATCGTTTCCTTAATAGTCTCTAGTTCTTAGCTCCGCACTAGGTCTTAGGTTAGAGCTAAATAATAGAACCCTACTACTATTACTAGAAATAGGTCTAAACTAAGTTATTATATAAAGAGGCTAATTATAGAATAAAGAGGGTTATTATATTAGAGAGAAACTAGGCCTTTCCGATAGCTAGTATAGATAACTATAAATGGGGGTCCATCCTGTATAAGAATACACTCTACAATTGCATTACTTGGCATTCAGTCCCACAAGAAGGACCATTCTTATTAGTCCCTCGCGTCGTCAGGAATTGGGGGAGTCGATGTCTTCGCTGGCCCTCGAATGGAAGGGGGTAAGCAATCTCTCCATGTTGATTGGCTAAGCGGAGGAAACTCGGATATAAGCACATGGTGACAAATTACGGGGCTCGTATATCGTGAAAGCGATGGCCGGCGGCAGATAGATCACTAGTGGAGAAACATGACTGGGCACAAACATTGGTCGGAAGCATTGCCAGTTCATGGACAAGATGGCGACTGTAACATATCCGCTGCCCCAACGCCCCCCTATCGCCTTCGAATCAGCCAAGGATCATGAGGATGACATCATACAGCGTATTGTATGGGAACAGACGGCACAGAACCTCTACGATCATTTATGGACAGAGCACCAACGTCGCGCAATCTCCTCTTTGGCCGCCCTCCATGTTGGCCTCGACCCCGAGCGGCAGCACCAGCGCTGTGTTGTCCAAGAACCTGATGGCTGGATCCGCGGAAACTTCAACATCTGCGTCCCTGTTCACGTGCTGGACAAAGCCGGGAGTCTAATACGGCGGGTGCTGGTACGATGCCCGATGGGCCATAAACTGGCCGAGGATCGTCATCCAGGCACAGTCGACGAGAAGCTTAGCACGGAGGTGGCCACATACGTATGGATGCAAGAGAATTGCCCGGAAGTCCCTATACCGGCATTACTCGGCTTTGGCTTTACGGATGGTCGTCACGTACGTTTCCCCGTTTTGCCTCTCTTTGTCCTGGCCAACGTACTAACGGTCTGTTACGGCAGTTTACTCACGTGCAATGGCGACCTTTCTACGTCCGCTGGGCAAGAGCTCTATGGCGGAGGATGCGCATGGTACTGCGTCTTCCTGTTCTGTCTCAGTATGTCCCTGTCTTGTCCGACTACGCGTTGCAGACCGGCTATATTGTTCTTGATTATATCGAACCGAAAGTTGGCAAGATGCTATCAACGACCTGGGAAATGCATCGCAACGACGCTGAACGGCGGCAAACCCTTTTTCGTGGGCTCTCCCGACTGATGCTTACGGTCGCGCGTCTTCCCCTACCTCGGATCGGTTCCTGGCACTTTCACGATGACGGCACCATTACCCTATCTAACCGTCCGCTTACGTGCAACCTCGTTATTCTTGAGAACAACGGCGCGCCCCGTATCATACAGCCCGGCGACACCTATACCTGTGTTGAACCTTACATCTGGGATCTTCTTACATTGCACGATGGTCGTCTCCACATCCAGCCCAACGCCGCCATGGACGAAGCGGACTGTCGCTACCAGATGGCCGTCCAGGTCCTCCTAAGGACACTTGCTTACGGCTACTTCGATAGAGACCGGCGGCATGGCCCTTTCGTTATGCAGTTCTCCGATCTGCACGCGAGTAATATCTTTGTTGATTCCCACTGGAACATTACCGCTGTCATCGACCTCGAATGGATTTGCGCTCGACCTATCGAGATGATTGACGTGCCATACTGGATTACCGGCCTGGGTATCGACCAGATTGGTAAGAAGGAGCATATTGACGAGTACGCCAAGACTCGCGAGGAGTTTATTACAATCCTAGGTGAGGAAGAACGGAATACAGCGATACTAAAGCTACCCAATGTCTCCCTTGCCGCTGCCATGCGACGCGCTGGGGAGTGTAAGTCGTCCTGGTTTGTCTACTGTCTCGATTCTGTTAACGCTATGTATACTATCTTTGACCAGCATCTCCGACCGCAGTTTATCTCTTTCGATTTAACTGAGAAAATGAACTTCTTCCTTTCGAAGTTCTGGTGCGAGAAAGCAGATGAGCTCGTGGACAGAAAGTTACGACAGAAGCACTTATATGATATCGAGCTCCGACGTATGTTTGAGAACGACGTGGACGCTACGCCATTGGTGAGCGGAAAAGCTTGAGAGCTTGATACAGAGACCCTCTGAGGCTTGGCGGTCCGGAAACGAAGACAGCCCAACAATGCAATTGAGGAAGGTTGGAAGTTTGGATTTTGTGTACTGTGTAGAATCAGCGAAGCAGTCATCCCTTCTCATTTACCAGATTTCTTTTCGTCTTTGACACATGGCCCTCTTTAACACCATCCGCAATGATGTCTTGGATGAATTGCCCTCCTTCATGTCACCACTCCCGGTCGCATCCTTCCCCGTATCATCCATCTCTATGTCGAGGTCGAAGTTGGTATTCTTGCTGGTCGGATCCTTTCGTCTTCGCTCGCTATCCGAGAAATGAAGTCAGGAGGAGTATCTCTGGGGCTAGCTAAATCACATACCGTGCTTCGACTCCAGAAGATATAAAGAGACTCAGATCCGCCGCCTTGCCGCCCACGCATACTGAGCCCTCTTCCTCGACACCGCTGTACGAGGAGTGAGACGAGCCGCCGCCGCCTGCTTCAGCCTTGTTCTTGTCTTCGAGCACACCCGTTGAATGACTCCACCGAGTTGCGTCAACGTTGTCGTTCGACATGTCGAGAATGGAGCAGAGCCTTTGAGACTATTCACTTAGAATTGGGGGAGGGAACTCGTGGTACGGCGATGAACAACGGCACAGGAAGACAAGATGCTTTATATAGGAAGACATTTTTGTTGGGGCCCAAGTGCGTTTCGGTATCCTGCCTGCTCACATGATGGCAGGCTGCTACACTGTTGGATGGTGTGGTGGGCAGACAGGCTTCACGTCAGAGGTGCTGGTGCCTAATGCATGGAAGGAAGCCTTAGAGGTGCTGGCGCCAAATGCATCTTCCCAACCCGGCTCTTCCATAATCCTAGCCCTGCCATGAATGAGATCGAGCCATCGCAACAAAGATAGAGCATGGAAGCGACTATAAAGCCTTAAAAAAAAAGAAGAAGAAGAAAAGGAAAGAACAGGTAAGGAAAATTAAAAAAGGCACATGCCGGCATAGTAGCCTATTAAAATAGCTGTAACTAACCTGCCCTTATCCCCCATGTAATCCTGCCGAAGCAGTGCGCTATCGCGGTCTGCTAGCCTAGCAGGCCTGGACCGCGTCCTGGCCGGCTAACCGTAGCTACTCTGGCCTTCATAACTTTATTCCCAGAGATCTTAACAGCTTCCTTTACTCTAGCTCTTCCACTTAGGTATTGGTTCAGGTCGTCGCGGCTACTTAGCGTTCTTTACTATTCTAGAGCTCGGAAGGGCTGAGGATGTCCTATTATCGCCCTAAGAACTAGGGTTTCGTTAGATAGTTTTCGTACCTAGTATCCCTCTTCTTAGTAGGATAGGGACATGGGGAAGTGGGGCATCTGCGGGAGAGCGCTTCACGAAACAAAGCAGAGACGTCGCGACACACCCATCCATGTCAAACTGGCGGCTAACTGCGGGCCAAAAGATAAAGTAAGCTCCTAGTGATTCTTACCGTTAGGACGCTGGGATTATCAATCTCGATGATGAAGAATCTATCACGAAGGACTAGGGCAACTGTCGAATGAATACATGGGACCGTTCCACTCCACCTGCTCGTCCAAGCCCTTACATAATCTCAAGTTCTGTTGATATGCGGGGTCTAAGACAGAAATGGGTAAGGAGCCTGGAATTTATGGCGAGGACTTGCTTTTTCTTGTCACGGGATCTGGGCAGGCCTCAGGGAGGGTATTGGTCTGGTCGACTGGAGGGGATACCGGGTACGCCACTCCCAGTCCATCGAAAGGTGATTGCCGAAAGGGGGGCAGGGGCAGGGACGGAGAGAGACCAGCAGTACAGATCCACAGGCGAGCGCGATGGGACCACAGACCGAGGAAAGCAGGCTCATCCGAGAAGCAGCACAGCACAGGTTAGACGAGCAGCGGCTACGCGAGCGTGAGGTGCTAGGGCTTCAGAGGGAATGACGGCAGAGGGAACGGCCCCTGTTAGAGCCTCGGCGCTGGTAGTGGGCGGAGATGATAACGTTAAAGCATTGTGGGGTTGAACAATAAAGACGGGGGCAAGAAGGCAAACTGTTGTCTGAGGAAATGAGAACCCCGGAGACATGGCAGCATCAGAATGCAGGGGGCGTTGCACGGCGTTAGCAAGAGTGTGCGGAAGAAATAGGACACCGCCGACAGCAGGCCAGGAGTATGAGGCTGGGGCAAAATCTATCAGTGTCAAGGTAGACCCATCCTCCCTCTCCCTAACCAAGCCAGTCTAGACTGAAAAGACTGAATGTTCGTCAGATACTCCAAGACGATGGACACTGCACTCCCGGGAAGACATACGCACTGGATATATGACGGCCTAATAGCAGCGCAGGCGAGCGTTCAGAGGACACAACGTTCACGGCTTTCCAGTCGCCCTTCCATACACTGATGCCAGCCTGTTATGGAACTTCTTGGGCGTTGGTATGACTTGGGAGAGGATCGGTTGATGCGATGAAAGGCGCAGGGAGCCTCTCATGCAGGTTTGTGGCAGTTGCATCGGGGATGGTGGGTACGATGCGCCTGTTGTTCCTCATTAGCGACCGCCCCTGAGACAGGTCGATCCGCATCAACTCTCCTCCTTTACATGGCGACACGGCGACCAGCTCCTGCTGGACGACGGTCGAGGCTGCATCGGAGTTTTGCGACTGCATGCTGAAAGGTATCAAGGGTCTAAAGCTGGAGACTTTCGGTAGAATGCCTAAAGCCTTCCTAGCTGGCCTCCTCCGGCGCGTGAAGTCTTGCGGTGGGTAGTCAGGATATGTTAATCCGATACGAATGCAACTGTGACCTGGTCTCACTCAGTATGGAGCAATGGAATCTATCTTAAGCCGGGAACTTTGCTTCCATTCTGGCTTTCGTTCGTCGCATTTCTTCTTTCGCCTGCTACAAGTTAAGTAACCCGTCCGAGTACGGTGGCTGAAATGAAGCTTGCGTTTGTTGCCATCAGCAAGCAGGGTATAATCGCGAGACCCTCCGGAGCTGTAGGGTTCATGGTTCGTCGAGGAGCCTACTTGGCTCGCTCGGGATGAACTCTGTATCGCCAGAGACGGTGGCATAGGACTCAGCGCGACTTGTTGAAAAGTTTAGTGCTAGTCAGTCAGAGTAACTTAAGCCAAATAATATAGTAGTAGTTGCCCTCTCCGAAGCTACTATCCCGATTTTGGCATTTGCTTAGCCTTTTCTCGTAATTATTGGACTAGCTAAGAGAAGCGTACCGCTATGATTAGAAGTAAGAGGGCTTTCGAGAATATTTTCGTTAAAAGACTATGGATGATTAGTAGAGGGGCGTAAATTGATCGCCCATGAGGATATTAGAGTCGTACTTGTTCCGATATATATTGCGATAGTCCCGGATAGTAATATTATGGATAGCATAACGCTAGCCTTATCTAGTCTCGCCCCCGTTTACAAAAGGCTGTAAGCTATACTTGGCTCTATGGAAATGATTTTGGGGGCGGTAGCTGCTTTTCTAGCTTCGTGATTAAATTCCTCTCTATCGGGTAGGTATAGGGGGTCTATAACGCTCGAGATCGTTAGTATTTCGTTAAAGTTCCCTTCAAAACTCGCAAAGTCGGTTAGGCTTTGCTCTGAAGCCGGCTCACTAATATACGCTGGCAATAGTCCCTTAATAATAGGTTAAGGTAAGGATAACGGTAGAGTATCGTCGGAAGTAGACTCTATGCCCAATTCATATATTAATAAATGCTCTAGACTCGAGTTTCGAGGGGCTTCTATGGTAATAGGTTGTAGGTCTATTATAGTGGAACTCGTAGACTGCTCTAGCTCGCTAGGCGGGGTGAATTAAGCGCTAGCTATGTAATCCGCGGGTGAATTCGGGGAATTAGAGAGCCGAATTTCTCAAATATTACGTATCTCAGCATTATCGTTTTCGGTTTCGCTAATTTCTTATTCTAGATCCCTGGCGGTAATTGTCGAATGGATTAAGTCTGCTATATATCTCGTATTAGTAAACCTAAGTGCATGAGTCTCTGTATTAGCCTCGACCTGGCTTAATCGAGAAGAGCTATGCGACGAGGTAGGTGATTAGCGGTAACTGTTTTCTGTTTTATGGTCAGTGATTGATCAAGCATAGAAGCGCATAGTTACGGAACCTACCCTCGGATGCTTCTTTCGAAACTACAAACACTTCTTCGCGACCACTCTTCGCTTTTTTCATTCCCTCCCGCTCAGCCAAATATCTTGATGCAATATCGTAGCCAGAAGCGGGGGAACCGTCGGGCCCATACTCGTTGAACGACCGCATCTTGCTGGCAGGGAGCCATGAGAGAGAACCCGACGAAGGGAACAGGAAGTTCTCTCCGCTCCGTACCAAATACTCTCCATCCTGAAACCACAGCACTGGGAATTTTCGTTTTATGACTTAAGGACCGCCGTCTCCGTAACCACGCTTCCAGCCATTAATATGCTTCCGGCTGCTTCTAAAACTAATGGGAATATGCCCATCTGCTAGCCCCGTGTCGGCGACAGAGCCAGCTATTCCCACTGCTTTGAAGTCACCAAGAGGAACTACAAGTAAGGCATACCAGGCAGATCGCTTCGAGGCCGAGGAAGAGCCCCACCTCCCAAGGAATAGTCCGCCCACATCTAGATATGCGATGCCTTCGGTTCGACTTGAAAGGTTGGTAGAAAAGGTATCTTGCAGGACCTGAATTTAACCCCAGTTAGCCGTCCTGCGTATGCCAAGTTGACCGATCGTCCCAATCTGGTACTGCAGCCAACAAGTTTATCCCAGATCAAGTGAGCCGGCTCCCTAGTTCGGGCCCTACCTCCAGTCTTCCGAACTCGTAGTGCAGGGAAGGACTACCGCAGAATTGGAGATGTGTCAGGATACTGTTACCAGGATGCCAAATAACATATATCATGCCAGTTTACAAATGCCAGGTCACACGGCGTACTATCAGTTCAAGCTGATTGTCTATCAAATATCTGCAGGGAACAGAAGCTCACCCACCCTAAGGGCAGAATCATTTCCAAGACCAACGTCGCTAATTCCCAAAGGGCAGAAAAAGAGGCATTGCGACATTCACAGTCAGCTGATTATCACAGACAATACATGGACTAAAATGGCTAAAAGATAGGCCTCAGGCGGAGTCGTTCTACTACCCCATCATTGAAAATAGATGCCCACCCCATCTTGCCCCGCGTCAGTCCGAATGGGGAAACAAAGGAGACAAAATCCTGGACCGGCCCGGTGCCGCATACCGGTGAGGGGAAAGTTGAGATCTCACCGGCCCCCCAGCCATTAATCTTCACTCACTAATGCAGGCTGGGGAGTGCCCTGATTGTCCAATGCCATGAGACAGTCGCATACTGTCGAGGCCGCTTGGGCAGATGCGGCAAGAAAATGCGGGCGTTCGCGTATGTCTTCCAAGGACTCTGAACCGAACTTCCCGGAGAGCTTATCAGGTCGTGCGGGGAACGTTGGGCGGCCAGCAAGCTCGTGAGCGTGCGTTGAGACAGCAACACGTGTAACATGCCTCGACTTGTGGTCTGGTCAAGGCAGGCCAGGCAAAGCTGTAGTCTTGTCTACGATGTAGCGATGCGGGTATAAAAACCGGTACGTTCTGGACGCATTTTGCATTTCCTCCTTCTATGTCTTTTGTCACCGGCGTTCTCCTTCTCCTCTCATCATCATGGCTTCCAAGTTACTCGCATTCCTCGCTCTCGCCGCCGAGCTCAGGCCAACCCTCGCCACCGTCCTCCCGCCACGGGCCAACGCGAAGCCCCAAGCATGCCGCAAGACTAAAGTAGCCGTTCTCGGGGCTGGCATCTCGGGCATCACGGCCGCACAGGCCTTGTCCGGCGCGGGTGTGGACGATTTCCTGATCCTCGAGCACAATGACTACATCGGCGGCCGCGTCCACCACACGACGTTCGGTGCGAAACCCGACGGCTCACCGTACACCGTCGAACTCGGCGCCAACTGGATCGAGGGCGTCGGCGGCACAGGCCCTGTCAAGAACCCGATCCTCGAGGCCACCGACAAGGCCAAGATCAAGAGCGTCTTCTCCAACTACAGCGCCATCGTCTCCTACGACCACACGGGCGCAAACGACTACCTGCACCTCCTCGACGAGTACGACGGCAACTTCACCCTGGCCACGCAAGACGCCGGCTCCATCCTTGAAAACGACCTCCAGGACTCGTCGATGCGTGCCGGCCTCAGCGTCGCCGGGTGGAAGCCGGGCCGCGACATGCGCGCCCAGGCGGCCGAGTGGTGGAGCTGGGACTTTGGCGTCTCCTGGCCGCCCGACGAGAGCGGCTTCCAGTTCGGCATCACCGGCGACAACGAGACGTTCAACCGCTTCGGCGACGAGCGCTACCTCGCCACCGAGGCGCGCGGCCTCAACGCCTTTGTCCGCGAGGCGGCCCTGATCTTCCTCGACGGCCTCGAGGACCCCCGGCTGCTCCTCAACACCACGGTCGAGGCCGTCGAGCACAGCACCAAGGGAATCGTCGTGCGCGACCGCGACGGCGGCTGCGTCGAGGCCGAGTACGCCATCTGCACGTTCTCCGTCGGCGTGCTGCAGAATGACGTTGTCGAGTTCCAGCCCCGCCTGCCCGTATGGAAGCGCGAGGCCATCGAGCAGTTCCAGATGGGCACCTACACCAAGATCTTCCTGCAGTTCAACGAGTCCTTCTGGCCCCAAGACGCGCAGTTCCTCCTCTACGCCGACGAGGACGAGCGCGGGTGGTACCCTGTCTTCCAGAACCTCGGCGCTCCCGGCTTTCTCGAGGGCTCGAACATTCTGTTCGGCACCGTCGTCGGACACCAGGCGTTCCGCGCCGAGCAGCAGACGGACGAGGAGACCAAGGGGCAGATTCTCACGGTGCTGCGGAAAATGTTCCCTGACGCGACCGTTCCCGAGCCGACGGCTTTCATGTACCCCCGCTGGGGCCAAGAAGAGTGAGTCTTCGCCGAGTCTCCTCGCAAGGCCACCTCCACTGACGACAACAGATGGGCCTTTGGCTCGTACAGCAACTGGCCGGTCGGCATGACCCTGACCAAGCACCAGAACCTGCGTGCCAACGTCGGCCGCCTCTGGTTCGCGGGCGAGGCCAACTCGGCAAAGTACTACGGGTTCATGCACGGAGCGTACTACGAAGGCAAGGACGCCGGCGAGCGCGTCGCGGCCATGGTCAGAGGCGAGCCCATCATCAACGAGGACACGGCCCCCGACGGGCAACTGAAGCGGTACGAGAAGCTGTATGGGCCCATCAATATGAATGAATACAACGAAGGCAACGGGTGGCCGGATGATGAGTAGAGAGGGCCCCGAGTAGAGAAGGCCCCGAACAGAGAAGGCCCCGAAACCAGTGTTTAGCGTGGACGTAATCTCGTCGAGTACATACTCTAGTAACCGTTTCATGTCAAAAGCGATGCACGCCTGATTCTAGTTTGTAATGCGGCCAAGACGCTGGGCAGTGGGGAAGCTGATGGCATTGCCGGCGAAGGCTTCTTCTCGAAGGTGTGTATGCATCATCGAAGAAAGGGCCGCACGTGGCATCTGACCTCTCAGTCAGACTTAGTCGATCATCTCGTCACAACGGTGAAGCATCTAAGCACCGACACAACTCCCCCGCCAGATGATCTCTGACATTCAAGTTGGGCTGGAGTGAGTCCTGCTTCAGATGAGCGACAACCACAAGTCCTTGCCACCCATCTCACACCTTGCATGCAGCTTGTTCTGTTCCTGTGCAAACTCTCAGTGGACGGGCAGAGGCGCAATGCGACACCTCGCTCTGGATCATCTGCCGTTTTCAGGCTGGATTAGTGAGCAGACAAAGCTCATGCATGTATGTAATTATAATCTACGCTCATCCAGCTCGCCCCACGGAGCCACAAGACGTCACCTCCAGGGGATCCTGACACCGAAATCATTAGCAATGGCCATGGCCGACACGACGCACCCCTCCAGCAGGACCATGCCGTCCCAACACCACGCACCCGCCAACCAGACGTTGTCCTCGCCGCTGACCCACGCAGACTGGATCCCGTCGGTCTTTTTCTTGTGCAGTCGCGACCGCCCCATAATCTGCTCCACCACAGCCCTGCTCTTTGTCGTTCGCAACGTCCTCGTGAACCTGGCTGTGTGCAGCGTGCGCTTCGCGTCAGCAGCGGCGTTGAGCGGACACGTGCTGACGACGACGCCGCTGGGCATGGCGTGCAGCGCCTCCGAGTCGGCGCCCATCTTGCTAAATGCCGTTCGCAGCGTGATGACCTGCGACGGCGATACCTCGCCCTCGTCGTGGTGCATGCAGGCCCTGACGCCCTGGTAGCCGTCCACGACGGTGTGTGCCGGTGCGCCGCCCGCCCCGGCCGCATGCGTGAGGATCGAGCTCTCGACTTGTCTCACGGGGATCCTCTCGACGGCGGATCGCAGCGGCTTGAACAGCCGGCCTGCAACGTCTGGCGAGACGGCAAGCACAACACGGTCAAACTCGTCCTCCTGGGCCTCCTCCTCGCCACGGCCAGTGCCGCCCAGCTTTTGCGACCTGACGAGAACAGCTTCACGTTCAGCGCGCGGCTCGATGGCGAGGACCCGCGTCGAAAGCCGCACGTCGTTAATGCCACGAACGAGACGGCCCTGGACCTGGCTGACGCCACCGCAGACGGCAAAATGCTGCTGGCCATGGGAGCGGCACTTGTAGCTGACGACATCGCTGGCGGGAAAGGCAAGCATGTCGTCGTGGGAGCAGGTGGAGACGCTGGCCATGAGAGGCAAGAGGTAGTGAGTGATGTAGCGGCGGGGTATGCATATCCTCCGGAGGTAGTCGTCGAGGGACTCGGCTGTACTGCTGGTGCCGGGGGTCGTCGAGGCTTCCTTGGGCTGAACGAGGAAGCAGGCGAGGGAGAACCAGAGCTGGCAGACGATGAGGAAGAGAATCTCGACGAGGTGGCGCAGGAGACTTTGACGGGCGGGACGCGGAGGGGGCGTCTGGTGGAGGTTGGAGGCGTGGACAAAGTAGGTGCCTGGGGCAGCGCCGACGGGCGGCTGCTTCTGGGTTCGGTCCCCAGAGGCGCTGATGGCGACGGCAGCGGCCGTTGAGTCGGCCAGGGCGCGGGCAAAGACGAAGAGAAAGCGCACCGGGTGCAGGGGGACGCCGAGATGGGTATACATGCGCATGAGGTTGTCGTAGTAGCCGCCGGCGCTGGCGCGCATGGGGAGGTCGATGCGCTCGACGGTGGCGGTGGCTTCGTTGCGGACGGCGACCGAGGCCGAGTCGAAGGAGAGGCCATTAGCCTGAGGATGTGTTAGTTTTTCCCATGTTTTTGGATTGCGTCGGGGCGGAGGAGGGAGGCTGCTGAGTACCTGTTCGAAGAGGGTCACAGCATAACGATTTTGGTCGTCGCTCTGCAGGAGGTGAGCGGTCGTCAGACCGGCCAGGCCGGTGCCGATGATGGCGACTCGGATTGGGGGCCTTTTGTCGGGGGGTCGGCTGGTTGGAGGATGCATGCCGTGCAGCGCTGGAGCGAGTCTCTGTTTTGTGGTTGGTTCTTCGTCACCAAAGGCCCGGGCCGCGAAAGTTTAACTTTAATGCCAGGTCGGAGATGCAGTGCAGGGCTTCGACGCAGTGCAGGGCTTCGAAACCGTTGTGGCCAAAGCTTGCTCGTAGCAGCCTTGTGCTGAAGGCCGAAGAAGGAAAGAACTGGGCTTCAGCTTGACCGACGGACGAGGGGTTGTTGTTGTTGTTGGTGGTGATGGATGGCCATCATGACATGACGTATCGTGAGATGGATGGATGCATGTTTCGGGACGACATGGCTGATCAAGCGCGTCTCACCCGCCAGGACAGGACTAATCTGGCTCGCCCAGCCAATTTGTCATGTGCCGAGGCGCCCAGGTCGATTCGAATGATGGCGAGCAAAATTGGTCGTGGGTTGAAGGGGGGGGGTTTGTCTCAGGGTCCGTCCCGGTCGGGGTCTGGGTCAAGAGTTGGGCCGACTCGATGGGAAAAGACGAGGGCTGTGCGAGGAGGGGAGGCAAGAGGAGCCAGGGGAGGTCCAGGCAGGGGCCAGGGAGGGGCCAATGGCAGGAGCCATGGGCCAACGGGAGGAGCAATGGGCCAACGGCAGGAGCAATGGGCCAACGGCAGGAGGGCCAACGGACACGACATTGGACAGCAGGGACGTTGAAGAATCCACAAATCGTTCGCATCAGGGTTCACCGCAGAGTTCTTCTCACCCGATCTTGCCCCCGGACCTGCCTGCTAAAGAACCTGCCGGTCACCTTCCCAGCACTGAGGCGCCTAACCTTACCATGTATCAACCTTACGGCATTCCCTAGCACCTGCTTCCTACTGCAGGTACCTACCAAGCTGTTGACAGAAAGTCTGGCGGGAATGAGATTGCTTACTTAACAGAACTACGCCAGCATCTCTAGACCTCTCCCTTATACAGGATACCAAAGTAGTACATCCATTAGTACGCAGCCCAAGACATAGAAGACCTCAACGCCCCAGGAGTCCTAGGAGGGTAGAGATATAGGCCTATCTAGAGTGTGTTTACAGCTCGCTTGAGTCTATGCCTCAATGAATAAAAGATGTGGTGGTGGAAATCGAAGATGGATGTATCTGGCGGTAGACATCTAGTATAAGCGACTTTGTGCCCACCAGATTTTCTGTTAACAGCTTGCCTAACTAAGACACCCAGGCTTGCCAGGTCAGCACCTGGCCTGGAATACAGCGCTGAGGCACGGACCTGATACTCCATGAGCCACCAGCTGTCACCGCGTCACCTCTCCCCTGCCAGCTGGCATCAACAATCCTGCCTCACCTCACGCATTGAGTTTCGTGTCTTGATCATCTGAGCACCACCGTCAATATATGAAAATCGTCCTCAGCATCAACAATTCCATCCCACGAGCCATCTGGCTTTCCAGAACCCCCCAGAGCGCCTCTCCCTCGGCTCACCCGGCCCTCCTCGGCCTCCCCTCGCCAACATGGAGGCGCCCTCGAATGCGCGCCCCATCGCCATCCTCGCAGGCTACATGGTGCTCGCCGCCACGCTGACCGTCAGCTGCGTCCGTACGGTCCGCAAGGGCGTCGCCCAACGCACCACCGCCGGCACCGGCCGCCAGTTGCTCGGCTTCACAGTCTTCTCCCTGCTCGCCGTCCTCAGCCTCGCCACCACCTGGTACCACATGTTCCGCTTCTTCGAGTGGTCCTACGCCGCCTGGAAGGCCCGCCGTCTCCTGCGGCCCGGCAACAGCGCCAAGCTCTACGTCGGCCTGTGGCTGCGCGAGACGTCCCTCTTCAAGCAGGCCTGGGCCTCGACGTTTGAGACGCCAGCTAGGGCCTGGTGGTCTCTTCAGATCTTTGGTTTCTGCGCCAACTGGAGCGTCATGCTCGCCGTCCAGGGTACGTACCACGCATCCTCTTATTCATGCACCCTAGAAGTACAAACTAACCTGCCCCAGCCAAGAAGCGCAAGATCCCCCACATGTGGGCGTTTATGCTGCTCGGCCAAGTCGTCGCCATTTCCTTCGCCTCGAACCTCTTCTTCCTCGCCGTCCTGGCCCATGACGTCGTCGCGCCAGCCGCTCTCCCCGAAGAGGCCGTGAAGCCCAAGGAGAGGCTCTCCGACTCGGATGACTCAAACGACGACGACGACGACAACGACAGCTCCGAGTCTGCCAAAAAGGCCCAGTCCCAGCAGGTCCTCACCCCGGCCATGGCCCCCTTCTGGTACCAGATCGTCCTCGGCCTCACCGTCGGCTGCGCCGTCTCCGTCCCCGACAAGTTCGGCACGCCGACTTTCCTGCCCATCGTGCTGGCGCCGCACCTCCTCGCCTTCACGCCGCTCCTCATCAACAGGATCCTGCGCCGCGAGGTCCCCGCGCCGCTCCTCAATCAGCCGAGCTGGTACCTGCGCGTCGCGAACCTCGCCGCCCTGCTCGCCGTCGGCACGTCCAAGGTCCAGGCCGAGGGGGGCGGCTGGGAGCTCATCCTGAGCACGCTGCACGAGCATCCCGCCGTGAGCTCCGTCGGCTGGGACGTCATCTGCTGCTGGGTGAGTTATGCGGCTTGGCAGCTTCTGGGTGAAGAGTGAAGAGTAGTGTCTTCCCGGATGCGCCGGGCTGCATGCTATGTTGGGGGAGTTTGTGCATTCTGCTGTGGAAATCTACAGTTGGTAGATAGAGAAGATATAGAAAGACATATAATTTTTCATATTGTTTGCCCTAAAGTGCCCGAAATGATTCTCTAAAAAGGTCCCTAAGGTCCCTGGTGATGTTGGTCAAGACTCGAGTCCCTCCTTGGTAGTCTCTCTTCATAGGTGCATACCGACCGAATGTGACCCACTTGCTCGCATACATGCACCAGACTCAACCTCACCTCAACCATCCCAAACTTGCCTCAGGTCAGACCCTACCTGCGTTCACGTTCATCATGGCCTTGAGCGCCCTCGCTGATATGAAGTCCGGCCGCTCCTTGGTCACGCGAGATTTTCTGACCGGATTCCTCGGCGGCATCATCTTCGCCGTCCTCCTGGCCCTCGTCCTCGGCGTCACAGCCTTGCGCATGACCGACCACTACGGGCTCGGCCACTGGAAGCTCAACCTCAGAACACCACTGAGCTCCATGTGGATGAACGTCGGCTACTGGTGCGTCCCCCGCACCCATGTCATGTCTTTCCTCGCTGTTGACATCCTCCCAGGCGCGACGATGACGACAACCAGATCGAGCACTTTGACGAGGCAGCCCTCGCCCTCCTGAAACAGCTCCTCTCCGCCGCCGGTCTCCTGGCCCCCAAGTCCCCGACGGCCGCCCGCCCCGGCGCCCTCGCCATCCTCGACCTCGGCTTCGGCTGCGGCGACCAGACCTGGCACCTCGCCCGCCTGACGGCGTCAGGCCCGTGGTCCGACTTTCGCTACGTCGGCCTGACCCTCAACGAGGCCCAGGTGCAGACGGCCTCGCGGAAGATCTGCCGCGCGGTCGCCTCCGCCACGAACGCCTCCGCCTCCGCCTCGTCCTCGGCAGACCTCGACATCCGCGCCGACGCCTTCAAGCTGTTCCGCGCCGACGCCGCGCGCCCCGCCACCTGGCCCGCCCCCGTCGCCGACGCCGTGCGCGCCCTCGCCGACGAGCGCTTCACCGACAGGTGGCTCGTCGCGCTCGACTGCCTCTACCACTTCTCGCCCTCGCGGCGGCCCGTCTTTGCGTATGCCGCGCGCGAGCTCGGCGCCCGCGTCGCGGCCTTTGACCTGCTGCTGAGCGAGGGGGCGTCCTGGCGCGAGAGGCTCGTGCTGCGCGCCGTGGGCGTCTTCATGGGCTGTCCCGTGGGCACGTTCCTCGTCGAGGACGCGTATCGGGACCAGCTGGTCGAGTGTGGCTACGACCGGGACGGCATCGAGATCAGGGACATTACGGAGCACGTCTTTTCTGGCCTGGTCCGGTTTTTGGATGCCCAGGAGCGGGCGTTGGGCGAGTATGGCGTCTCGCTGGGCGGCTTCAAGCTGGCGGGGAGGTTGTTCGACTGGTTTGCGAGGTCGGGTGTTGTGAGGGCGGTGGTGGTCATAGCACGCACAGTGGATAAGTCGGCTTCATAACAGAAGCTAGCATTTTGTACGATATTGGATGGCAATCATTTACTGCCTTTTTTAAAAAAAAAACTCCATTGAAACAAAAAATGGCATGTCTCAACTTTGCTAACTTCAAGGCGCCTGCGTGGAGGATCGGGAAAACTCGCGCATCGCTTGCCCTCTATGCAATCAATAATCAGACGACATGGTCCTGGAGAAAGACCACAGATGTCGTACATTCGCTCCTCACCCCTCCGGCTTAACATTATCTTTATCCTTCAGGTCATTTTCTTGATCCAGAGGCCCGACAAGTACATCCCAGAGATCAGGGTTATCGGCATTGTTATGGTCCGTTATGTCATATCTGTTCCTCATGTTAGACAAATCAATGCTTATCGTGCCAAATCTCAATACTCTGAATTATCATTGACTTACGATGAACCTTGAGAAATATCTTCATCAAAATATTTGAGCCTTCTGATGCCCGCTGAGTCGTTTCCGTACCTGATAATCTGTATTGATACATCTGCCCGTTCACTGTTTGATTCATCCATGATCTCCATGATCCGTCGGTTCGGATTGTCAACTGCACAAGCTTCATTTTTCGTTTTTTGGCTCCACAACTCATTCGTCACTAAATAGATGTTGGCGGGCTGTTCTTTCTAATTGAAGGCTCTGAGCGCGGTCGTACGCCGTAGGAATATTTCTACTATTTCACCAAACACGTAGTTGAGCCTATTCTCAAATGGAGACGCTTTTTGCCACTACTTCGTCAAGTTGGTTACAGTTCTTAATAGCTAATGGAGCGTTGCGGCGCGGGCGCCTCTTTGCCTATATAGGATTTATAGTGGCGTTAAATATATCATCATTATCAACCTTACTAAGAAACATCTCCAGAGGTGCTCGATCATGTGAGTCTAATAGATCAGTGCCGACCCACGGATCGCCCTCATGTCGTAAGCTTTCTGTAGAGCCTTTTGGTGGGCGATTTTCTCTGTCAAGTGCCTGCCCTGGTCAGTAGGCAGGTTTCTCTGTATATTGCAACCGCCTCAGTGAGAGAAAGATGACGGGGCAACGTAGCAGGACCCTTCCCAATCTAGCAATTCAAAGGTGGGGGTCAGAACCTGCAACACGGCGACAGTGCAGGGCATCAGCATTCATACCGAAATAGCAGTCCCAAGACTAGACACAAGCAGACACCTTTCAGCCAACATCACCACCATACGTCTTGCTCATCTTGCTCATCGAAAAGCAGGACGCATATGTTTGAAGAGCTCTGGAGCATCACGCTTTGGAACAGTGTTTGACCGGTCGGGTGTTGTCCGAGCGATGGTCATGGTGGCTTACGTCGAAGTCAAGATATAATGTCGTAACACATTCTACACGAACAATAATCAAATACATGAAATCACCTCCGTAAATCGATACAGAGTGGACTTGCTTGCTTGGAGCTTTGATGACGTTGCATAAACATGTGATCTTACAGCTGTGACCCCGTTTACCTTATAACCTAAACTAGGTAGTAGTCTGCCCAAATGCCGAACTCTAGACATCCTCAGAATGGCCGAATAAGGGAGCAACGTTGGACGCTCATAACCTTTTGGTCTGCGCCGAAATTTAGCCACTGACATCGCTGTCTTGGCTAAGAGGCCCGGGTAAGATGTGCCAGATGCCGTCTGTACACAACCTGTGATCTACGATGTTCTGTCTATTGTTGCGTTAGATTACGAAATCATGATATAATTGAAGGACTTACCGGGGATCAATCGCGATAGAATTGTTCAAATATTCGAGTCGAGAATGCCCAACAGGATCAGTTCCAAACTGGACGAACTGAATCGCCACATCTGTCCGACGGCTTCCTTGTGCGTGCATCTGATCCATGAGACCTCTTATCGGGATGTCAACTCCACACGTCTCAGTATTCCTGTGGCCAGTCCATGCGCCATCTGTTAGCACATAAATGCTGCAGGGGACTCTCTTGTTCGACAGCATGCTGCGCAAAATAGCGACCCTCGTTCTTGCGCGGCGTGGCAGTCTTTCACCCACAACATGCAAAAGTTTGCTTATAGACAGCTCCATAGAACGTTGCCGACGTGTTTCAGCAGTGAACCCGGTGTTAATGAAGGAGCTGAGCTCTTCCGGATGCTTCGACTTCTTTCGCTCCTTGCTGCTTTTCGATGCTAACACAACTTCCAATCCATCTGGCTTTATATCGCCGATGAAGTACGCAATGAGCTCCACAAATTCCATGATGTCTTTTTTGAAATGTAACATCGTCTTTGAATCGTCCACAAAGAAGATCTGCATTTGATGGAATCAGCTTCAGTCAACACTCTTCTATGCTTGAGCTCACAATATTTCTTCCTTCCAATAGGCCCCTGTATTGTTCTCGTCCTAAACGATCCAACCTTTGAATAGATGTATATTCTTGGACATCTTGCCATTTCTGACGCCGGTGAAGCAGGAAATGATTGCTGTTCAGAGGTCTCGGTTGCTGCCCTATGCGAGGAAACAGACGAATGCTTGGCCCAGGAGATAGCAAATATCCGGGGCGTGTTATGATGCTGGCTGGGTTTATTGTAAGAGTATCTTGGCGTGGAAGCAAATTGAGTGGTTTCCCTGTAGTCAGATCGACCAGAAACACGAGTGCTGTTCAAGAGTAGGACAGCACTGCTGTGAGCAGGCTGCTGAACAAGAGTCGTGGGAAACCAGCTTCCGTCGTCCTGCGGCTGTTGTTCGGAGAGAGGTTCATATATCCCAAAGACACTTCCCCCAGCGTCTCCCACCCTGATATTTGCTTTTTCAGCAGCATCAGATATGATCTGAATGTCGCTTAGGGGAACTGGTGCCAAAGGTGGTATTGTGGCAGCAATACTGAGAAGCACTGGACGCCCCGAATCTTCCTTTGATTCGCCTGTATGCATGTAGGCCGGACGAATTTGTATCTCTGATGACCGGTTTCTATCCCTGTCGAAAAGGCCCGCATGGTTTTGGGCCCATAGAACAAGCATCGTGTGCTGTGCTATGTCGGAGTTACCCTGTAGCGTGGATGAGTTAAAAACTTGGTTGCCTGTCGAGTGAATTAGAGGAATCGAGTCAGCTTCCCTTTCAATAATCTTTTCGATTGAGCTTAAAATGGTGTTCGCAGTTGGCCGCATGGATTCAGACTGCCGCAGTGCGCCGTTGAGTAGATATAGGACAATATTTGGTGTGGTCAGATCGTCTGGTTGGCGATGCTTGTGTATCCATGCAAGAACATCTGTCACGCAAGGCAATAGGCAGATGATGCCATCGTGAAAAGAGTCAGCAGCCCCTGCTTCAACTTGCCTCAGTGAAGTTTGCCCTCTTCGGCGTTCTGCGAAACTACGCACTTCAGGATGCCCTCCAACGATCCAGACTGCGACTTCGATGAATATACAGCTGATGGCCCAAATCTCCATGGAGGGGTAGTATTTATGGCGAACTTCATTCCTCAGAATCATCTCTGGAGGTACTTCGAGCAATTAGCAGTCATATCGCCCTGTCATTGTTTGGCAGACTGTCAATCTTACGGTAGGTGACAGCACCACCATTGTCAAGGGTAGGGTTGCCTCTCGCCGTCACATGGCTTTTGTCAAAATCGCCTAGCTTTGCGACAAACCTAAAATATCGATCGTCTTCGTCGCCCTGCTCTGCTTTGTCTGAGCAGAAGAATATATTCGATGGCTTCAGGTCCTGGTGCACACTAGAAGGGTTATCAATACGGTTGACTCCTCGATTGCAATTGCCATGATCAATGTTCTAGGTTAACCTACCTTGTAGCTCCGCTGGCTAATCCCTGATGCAACGCTTGCAGAGCAATCAAAATCTGCGCCAAAGATTTCCAGAAACTCTTGATATGAACTGGCGACCTTGGCTGCCGCGCACTTGCATACCAGTCCTGAAGAGTACCGCGGTCTGCATACTCAAGGAGAATATTAAAGCGGTATGGATGGCTTGGTAGGGACGAATATGACCGAAAAATACCGTAACACTTGAGAACATGACTTATGGCAAACGGTGACTCGTTGATGCTGTTGTGCCAACGAATATATGCTCGGGCTTCGTATATAAATCCCGACTCAGACTCGTCAGAACCCCCGTGAGACTTCAGGACAATGACCACGTCTGACTACACTACATGTAAGCAGCTAAATCCTCAAGGACTCATAGAACATCGGAGGACTCTCTGTCTCACTTTAATTTTCGGGATACCTAATATGCTGCCCACCACAGGATCGATTGTCAACCTTTTCAATCTTACTGCTCCTGTGTTCTGTGAAAGTGGTCCTGGTGGCCATTGCTGCTGTGGTTGATAGTCATGAAACGGAAAGGTGTGCCTGGATGAAACCGTGATCGCTGGATTGAGATTACGTTTGAAGACGAAGTGGTAAAAGAGCCATTGTTTGTCGTTAAATTTATTCCAAAATGGTTCCTCGTTGTTTAAAAAAACTGGTTTCTGCTCAAATGGTAACATCGATTTCACGTAATCATGATCGTGTAAATCTTCCAAGCGTGACATCCATGTAGAACACTCGGTGTCGGATATAGCGACGAGAAGCGAAAAGATGACAAACAATCCTTCACGAACCTGATCGACAGCCATGTGGTGTTGTTGGTTGGACATGAGGAGTTTCGAGACACGGTCGCTAGTCCAGTAGTTCCTTTGGAGGCTGATGGGTACATAGTTCTGTGTAGCACCATGGCAATTCTGGCCTTTATGGGTATTCCTATCAACCCATGATTCGAATTCCTCTTGGAGACTGCGCCTCGTGGTGCTGACTGCGGCTTGCTCTTGCATATCCCTTTGGAAGTCGTCAGCAAACACCATATTATGGTCAGACGTGAGCTTCTTTCCTTCGCTTCAAGAGAAATCTACTGGCCATCAAACATGTTCTTCGATATCGAGCTGTAAATATTGGGGATGTATGAGCACACGTAGTGGCGGAGGCAAAATTCTAGTGCTAAACGATTTGTGTTTGACAGATTTGGTTGGATCACAGGCTCATAGGACTGTGAAAAGAGCGCACGAACCAAGGCTAGAGGATGGATTTACGTATGGTGAAGTCCTTATCTCGAGTGAGACACGTGCATTTGGTAAAGTGTTGTCGCTACCTTGGCATATGTATTTTGACTTATCGGTGGGGGCAGGGAGTACAATGTTGGATGTACCACACAGATGGTTTTGTTTTCATGAGGTAATGCAGGCTGAATTATGCACCTTGTGTTACGTTGAGCTAAACACTTTCCCCGAAAACGCCCGATCTCAGATTGATAGTACTTCTCAGCAAATCGATATGGTTACCTGGACCTGAATGCCTCAGCTCCTGTTATCAAACGTCCCTAGAAGGGCGCAGTGACAGCTGTCGCATGGCCATACTCCATGGAATTAAGCCAAAAGGACGTGTATAAAATAATCAAGTGGATTCATCTGCTAAAAAGAGAGTTAAAAGTCCCAATTCTGTATTTATTCCAAGCCCAACCCTAATAGCTGCCACCGCGTTTGTGGCGCTTCATGTGGTACCCCCACGAACCAATAGTAATGAACATCATTGGGACGCAGATTGCCATGAAACTACCAAATATAGTGCCGTCGAAACTCCATTTGGCCCCGGACTCAGTCGCCACTCCCTCAAAAATTGGCGTGCTAAACAGAGCCTGACGGGGTATTAGAGTATGCCTTGTTAATAAGTGAGGTTCGATATTGTGCGATGACTTCATACTGCATAAACATATTGATATTAGGAGGTTCAGGCTTCGATAGGTTGCACTTACTCGGCTCAAATTATCACGCAACTGTTCGATCAATGTATCCGCTCTTTTGCATTGAACGTCGAGAGTCCCCTTGATGTTTTGAATGCAACCACGGAAGCGAGCAACTTGGCTCTTGCAATCTTTTGCTATCGCTTCCGGGCAATTCTCCCATCCGAGTAAGTCTGAGTTAGTGCCTTGTAGGTTTGCCAGTACTCTGATGTTGAGCCTCATCATCAACTTGGTCTCCTGAAGCTCTGAAAATGAATGAAAAGTGTTTTCGCTTGTCCGATACATAGAACGGGGTGAGGAGATTGTAAATCTGCTCCACTTCTTCCTTCAAGTTCTGATCCTCAACGGCCAAACGCCTCATCTCGACGTCGGTGTCTCGTCTTGTGGGTCGGAAAGCCAATGCAGGATCATTATTGACATTTAAGTCCGCCCACGTGTTTCTCAAGGTTTGGGCGGGACGCTGGGTGAAGAGTGAGCTGGCGTTTGGCACCCCAGGTGACTGTCGCAAAGGGGCCTGCCCTTTAGTGGCATTGGGGTCTCCATGTGTCTCTGATGCTAAATTCAACCCGGGGGCCGCCATGCCCAAGTTAGTTGTCCTTTCTCCTTGCACAGAATCAATTATTCCTTGAAGTCGAAATCTGATATCATCGATATACCACATCCAGCCCTCGGAGCTCCAGTCCAGGTGAAATAGATGAGTGGCTAGGGTTGATTTGAAAGATCCTTCCAGCGTTTCTAAAACTTTCGGTTGCAGCATGTCGAGTTGAATTTGTTTCCGTACTATCCGCTTCCTCATTGTGTTATCGGCCTTAATGGTAAGCCAAAAACATCGACCGTTCTCTGAATCGAAAGAATGAAACACTGTGACTTGTCTCCGAACCCAACGGATTTCTTCAGTTGAGTGCTCCATTGCTTGGATCTTGTAGCAATGACGGAGCTCTTTTCCAGACCTGCCAAGCTCAGGAATTCCGAGCTGCCTCTCTGAGAAAGGGCCAGGTAATTTGCTTTCAAGGTATACAATGGAGTGAAAGTTTCCCCTGCCCTGTGTCTTGCCAAGTGTTAGAAACAAGTCGAGGAATTTAGCGGGTATTTGATGATAACTAGAGAGCAGCTGGAACATAGGGAGCGTTAAATACATAGGTGACTTGGAATCACCAGCATATATGAACTTAGGAATCACATAGGTCATTAACAGCTCTTGAGATAGTTCAGGAAGTTCATAACGGCCTTCAATAAACCTACGCATGTCGGTATCTCGGATCTTCATATCTATCAACCAGGTGACTTGCAAGGTGGTTTTATAACGTTGACGGATCCTTGAAAGCGTGGTCCTCAAAGTCTAATTTTGTGAGAAGAAGCTTGACCGTATAGAATAGATCGATGTTTCCATACCAATTTGCCCTTTGACAGCTTCTCGAATCCGCAAAAATGGGCGATGATTGTAGAATAGCCTTTCCGATGCTTCGCGTAACTTAGTTCCATATGACTTCGACAAGTCGTTGACAACATCCCGATAGATCAAGTTCCGTGGATACTCGGAGTATTGGTTCGCACTGCAGGCGTCTGCGAACTGGTGGTGTGTAGAGACGGCCATTCTTCGTTTGTGCGTTCAGGTTCATTTGATGGCCCAAAAGGCAGTGTATGCAAGTTCTTACAGTGTTTCTTTATAGTGATCGACACGCAGTTCCGAAGATGGGAAGAAGCACGGATAATTGCGAGGCCTACGTCGATGGCCCACGGATCTTTTTGATGTAGCTAAGGGTGGTTCCCGGCAGAGGGGACTCACGTTTGTTAGGACCATTCTCCTTAGGCTTGGCATCTTGCACCTGATTCCAAAAGACCTGAAAAAGGTATCCAGTCTGCACAATCATTCTGCAAAGGTATAGTGCAGCGCTTTGGCTGGGTGGCACAAGGGACGAAAAGGGTGTGCTGACAGAGTTTCACTTAGGTGGCAATTTCATGGCCATTCGGTCGGGTTGAGTCGGACATGCGGTAAGGGCATGCACTCCCCCTGCATGCTATTCACGATGACCTTCATTGTATAGTGTTCTGCTTCTAACGTGGAAGCGTAGTCAAAGAGTATGGGCCCGTCATTATTTCACTTAAATGAACAAGTGCACCAAGAGGCAAAGATCATAAGATGCATGATCCACAAGCTAAGGTACCTAGGTAGATAGAAAGCCTACACTAGGGGCTTACTATATGTATCTTTAATGAGATGCGGTTAAATTAATATACTATAGATACCGACTAATCCATTAAATAATTCAGTTCTGCTTATATATCTCGGCTCTAATAAGTCGCTAATACTTAGCTTAGCTAGGGTATAGATTAGTATTAACTATTAGGAAGGAGAAGGACACTTTATAGGATCTAGAGGCTAGTATATCTTTATAGCGTAGTATTCTCAGCTATATACCTATTAGCGCTATACTTAGAGTAAATCTATCTCTTAATTATAAATAGATATAAGTAAATAAGGTCCCTAGAGATATTGTAAGAAGTAAGTATAGTAGTATAACTATACTATATAATAGTATAACTATACTATATAATAGTTCTTAAATATAAAATAAAGATTAGAATTATACTAGCTATAGTCCTTATATTTCTTATAGAGATATATAATACTCTATTGAAATAAAGTAGAATAGAGCTATTTCTATTAACCTTTAGGGATTAGGGTTCCTAGAAAGAGGGTAATACTAAGAATTCCCTTATAGCTATAGGATAGGGGGCTCCTCAGGGGCTAAGTCAGAGATATATAGAGTTCCATTTGCGGTAGAGGGCTAGAACTGAGATAAATCCTAATTCTATACCTAGTTTCTGTTTCCTGTGGACTATATATAGAACAACTCTCTACTATGCTCAAAACCATGAGCTAAAAGGATCCGCAAATGTTCATAACTGCTAGAGCGTTGGTCAGAGCAGAGTGAAGAGGTCTTCCACACGTGGTCCGCAGCAAATAGAAGATAGGTAGGGGGTCGGAATACATCTGAATTCTGGCCCTCCGCAGCCTATATATACGTCTCTCGTAGCCCTTAGCCCCAGACCGACTCCCTGCTCGGCGACTCCGCAGGGGAACCGGCAGGGTCCCCTGACAATAACAGCCCATAACTTGGCCTAAAGGCCCTGGTGGAAACAAGCAGGGCGAGCAGTAGATTCGAATTCAGGTTTCTGCATTACCAACCATATCACTTGGGCTGCAATCCTTGCGTGTGAGTCCGCGAGAGGTCGCCAAACACGCGGCAGCGTCGCGAGATCGTAACTTGAACCGCTACGTGTAGTAACGTAGAAATCAAACGTCACTCCCTCAGTCCTCGGGCGGTCTTGGGGAAACGAGATTATCCAATCCTGCTCGCTCTGTCTGTTTTGGGTCAGCGAGTGCCTCTATGAATAGCCATGAGAAAATTAAAGTACTGGATTAAGTGGGTCAAGGGTGACTGCATAGTAATCTGAATCATGTTCCTAGTTATTACATCAGTGCACGGTCTTCCTACGTAGGTACACTGAAGACAGTAGGGGCTACCTGAACTTCCACAACTGTGCGGATTGTCTTCAGATAATCAATCAGGACCTGCATGGGAAGCCTGTAACGGGATATGTATGTAATGAACATTGCAAGACCCGGGCTTGAAAATGATCAAAAAAGGTACACGTGGACTTGGATGAAGGTAGCGACTTGGGTGGCGGATGAAGCAAGTCGCAGTCACTGCTTGCCTCAACCTTACTCCTCTTCACTGGTTAGCTACTTTTCGGGCGTGTGTGTGCCGTCTGAGCCTCTATGCCGCCTTGTTTGAAAATGCTGACCATTGGACCGCGGCTGACCGGTCTCATGCACTCAAGGCAGCCGGTGGTGGTTGGGGTATGATTGCCTTACAATGCACTACGACGTGTTTGTGCTGAGGGTTTCGTCGCATGCCTGAATAGGTAGGTATATTGTTGGGCCGGAGAAAACATGCTTGGCGCCTGTGGAGATAATAAGTGCATGTGAGGACAGCGAGATTCTGGGATAGTTGTGGCACCGGCACAGCCTGACGAATGTATTTTTAAAAGAGAATGCGTGCTGGGATGTCCTGATGTGTTTGTCGATCGAGATTCTCTTAGCATTTCTATCTCTCGATTTCACGGGCGTACATGACTCTTTTGAAAACGAAAAAGAAATGATTTCAGCTCTTGAGACATGATTGTCACCTGAAGTGATTATCGCCCGAAAGCAACGCCTCATGAGTCCGAAGCAACGCCACTGTTCCCTTGGCAGAGAAGAATGAAACTTGCTGTCGAGTGAATGCTATCCGAAGCAGATGCAGCGCTCATACTTGGTATCTCCATTCTCCAGGTGCTTCTGCCAGCCATGCTTGCCCTGATCCCAGATAGGGCCTGGGTAAAGCCTTAAGTGAAGTAGGTATGCAAGCCCTCGACAGAAGAAATGGCCGAGCAATAAGGATCTGCAGTTGGCTGACTACGGACAGCGAGGCATGGCTCGGCGCTGACCTACTGGTACATTGGGGGGCTCAGTTGGTGGGCCATTCTTCTTGTCGACAGCTTGGTATGGTAGGGACTTGGGTTGAAGGAATGGTGGTCTGTGCATCACCCTCCGTCGTCAAACGGGAGTAGCTACTAGTAAGGTATGTGGGGCGCCATGTG